CTTAAAAACCTTTAATGAAACAGAATAGCATGGTACTATGTACTTAAGGGTGAGCCAATGAGCGACAGTCTGGATTATTTCATTTATACATCTGCACAAGGTGTGTTTCAAGGAATAGAAGAAGAATATTGCCTAGTGCCTGTGATGTTTTTTTATTTTTAAAACAAACAAGCAAACAAACAACCTGGCCTGCTGAATGGTCTTCTTTCTCTTTTATATCCACATTTAGATTATTATGGGTGCTGCTCCACTACAATATTACATAGGTATCTGTGCTTACCAGGGTAGAGATTCAAATGAGTAGATTCACCCATGCACAGGTCTGTTTGGTTTTTTTACCCCCACCAGAATGGACCTCGGTGGTCCCAAAAGCTATATTTGTATTAACTCCCCTCTGAACCTGGCTGGAATAATTTGCTTATAATTTTTAATGAGTTGCATCATTTAGGACCAGATCCTGTAAGGCAGTGAGTGCCCCCTCTCTTCCTCACTGTCTCCCCTGCCATCTGCCCTGATTATGGGAGCTGAGCTCTTTGGAAAAACTGCCCCAACCCCTACAACAAAATCTCATGCTTGCCTCCCCTATGTGGTCTTCTGTGGAAATCGGCAGCTAGTGACAATGGGCCAAATCCTGCTCTCCTGGGTGCTGAGCACTCTGGGAAATGTGCTTCTGTGTGCACAAAGAGAGAATGAATGGTAAGCGCTAGAATTCTACAACTGCAGTAAGAGATGGCTTGTCTTTTATGGAAGCATTCAGATGCATTACAGTGTAGAGATATTCTGTACCCAGGACCTGCTGTAATTTCCATTCAAGCTGCATAATAATTTTCACATAATGCCAGCTTCCCATCTGCACTGAGTACTATCTGAAGCTCTCAGAGCTCCATAAACATCTAAATTACAGCATTTGGCTTAGAATTGTCATTTCAGTTTCTCCACCTCACACTGAAGTCTGACAAATGCTGCTCTAATGTGCTGTGTATGCCCATGCAAGTGTTTAGGATATTCAGGAGGGTGGTTTCATTCTTGCTAAATGAGCTGTCTGATGAAGAGAAAAACAAACCCTAAAAGGAATCTTGGACTGTTAACAGCCACGATTTATGAGATTATCAAGCCTTTTTTCTTACTAGAGTAATAGTCAGAGGTTTACCAAGGGTGGGTATGTGGCTCATCAGTGAAAAGCAATTCATTTTTCAAAAATGTACTACACCCTCTTTTTAAATAGCTTCTGTGAATCAGATACAGACATTTAAGAAAAATAGAGCTGTAAATCATCAAGACAAATTCGAATTAGAAATAAAGCACCCATTTTTAACAGTGAGTGTGATTAACTATTGGAACAAAGTACTGAGGGAAGGGGTAGATTCTCCTTCTTATTATGTCTTCAGATGAAGACTGAATGCCTTTCTGGAAGACATGTGTAACTATAGCATGCTTGTGACCATCATGGAGTCCGCTCTGCGGGCAGCTACAGCCAAGAAAAGGCACGCGTAGGAATGCAGCAGGGAAACTCCCTTCCACTCCGAGGTGCTGGAACAATTTGTATAGTGGGGGTGCTGAGAACCATTGAACCAAACTATAAACCCTGTATCTGATGGAAACCATTTCAACTCTTAGTTCCAGTACCTATGCTTCCACCCCAGAAACACCTGTTCCAAATCCCCCAGAGTAAATACACACACACACACACACACTACAGTGGAATAGTACAATGATTATAGGAAAGGGAAATACTTTATTTATTTACTGAGGGATGAATGGAGAAAAACAACAGGGGAAAAAGATAGGGGGAACAGTAAAACAGAGTTACATCTAACACGAGGACCCATCAAGCTGGTGGTACCACAATATAAAAGGATAGACACTGAGCACTGCATCTAGATTCAAATGTTAGGAATCCTGGGCAGAGTTCCAGTCCAGCAGTGGGTCTTCCTGGTCATCTTCCACACCAGTAAACTTTCCCCAGCAACCCCTTCCGGTGCCCTCTTCTACTGCTCTGCACAAACCCACACAGTGCGACAACCTCCCCACTTAACTAGCTATAACTTCCTTCCTTATTCCCAACACAAGGTCACAAGCCCTAGTACTCACGGTCCCATGCAGCGCTGGGTGACAGTGATATTGGGTCTGGCTTTGGTTTGGCCTTCTCAGGTGATTCCTTCTTGTCACAGTGTTCCTCCTGGTTCCTGTCCTGGGACATCCCTGGTCGGCTGCTCTGTCCCTCCCAGGCTTCAGGCTGGTTCTCAGCTGCTTCTGTACGTGAGGGCCTGCTCAATTTGGGGCTCTTGTCTGGAGCTCCAGAAACACACACTCCCCTGTGGCTTTCCCTACCGTAACTCCCCTCCCTTTGGAACAACTAGGCCTTCCTCTGCCTCAGGTTTTAAAGGAGTCGTGCTCTCTAAACCCCGAGGGAAATACACAGGCTTTAGTCATGCACAGTTTATTGGGCTCAATGAAAGGGTAACTGGGTGAAATTCTATTCCCTGTGTTATATAGGAGGTCAGACGAGATGATCTCATAGTCCTTTCTGATCTTAAAATTATGAACGAACCTATGAAAGCTATACTTCCATGGGCAGCACATAATGGAGGCTGGGAGAGGCTAAGCCTCCCCAAACCTCCTCTAATGCTTCCCACCATGGCCCCAAGGCCGGCCTGTGGTGGGGCTCAGTGCTCCTCTGGACAACCAGGACTCGGACAGGCAGGTGGGCCAGGGTGGATTGGGAAGGTGGGTGGGCCAGGGTGGCTTGGGCAGGCTGGCCAGCCGGGGCTCAGGGCAGCTTGGGTGCATGGGCCAGGGTGGTTTAGGCAGGCTGGCCGGGGCTCGTCTGGGCCCAGCAGGTGAGAGTGGAGGGATGGAGTGGGGGCAGGGTCTTGGTGTAATGGGAGGGGCATGGGGCTAGCCTCCCTGAATGGGGGGTTCATGCGCCATCCATGTGTGCTGCACTTCCATAATTTCCTAATGGAGGACTGCGTAAATCAGGGGAGGCAGAGAAAGCCTTCTGACCCCTAACAAAGCAGCGGTGACCAAAAGTCGGTACAATCTGATACATAGGTGCTGGAACTAGGGTCGTTGGGTGTGCTGCCACACCCGCAGGCTTGAAGTGGATTCCATTATATACAGGGTTGACAGTTTGGTTCAATGTCTCTCAGCACCCTCACTATAAAAATTATTCCAGCACCCTTGATTAAATAGCTGTTTGGAAACCAACATGATAATCAGGTGATGGTCACATGTCCACTTCTCCCATTGATACCAGTTTTGGTTTTGTACCTGAGGTTTTGCTTATGTAGAGTGCAAATCTGGTTCCCTTGAATGAAGCCTCAATACGGAAGCTAATGCTGAATGGGCATAGAATGTGAGCTACCACTTATACCTAGAGATGGCCTTCAAGGTCAGGGTAAGGGTATGTTGGTGGTGGGATGGTGTGGAGAAGCTTGTGGGTTGCCATTGCCTGTGTTACATTTGCTCTATGTATCAACAGAGAACTATGGAGCTAGAGCTATCAATCCAGCACCACTGTTGGACAGCCAAATATACTTTAAATAAATAATGTTCTCCTGGTATAAAGCTTCATATTCAGTTCTCATTATAATCCATTCTAGAAGATGAATCCCTCAGTAACACACACGTACTTGTTTTCCACAAATAGAGGTAATACATAGGACCTGATTCATATAATGTTTGTAAAACCAACAATATATAAAAGAGTAGCAATGAACACAATATTTGGCTGGAGCAGTGTTCTGGGTCCCAGGGCTATACCCATACCTACTGACATCACGTGTATCCCAGCACTTTATGCATGGAAGTAAACAAGTACACTCATACATTTTGTTGATGCATTACTGGAGAAACTGCAAAAAAAAATTGTATTTAGATGACAAAATAATGACATTCCTCAAATGACTGCAGGAAGTTGAACTGATTATTCATAAGGTAGTTCCCAGTATAGTGTTAGTATTGTTACAGGTGCATGTGCCTTTTGGATAAGGCGTAAAAGTGAGATCCCATGACAGGAAGCATTAGCCCTAGTGTTCTGGGGCATTCCATCTTGGGAGATTACATTCTACCCTCCTAAATCCTCCCTGCAATTTCAGTTAGCTGCAGCATTTTTCACATCTGTCTAAAACTATTGTTTAGTGTTGCTGTTGGATATTAAATAGCAGTTACATTTTATCACAGGAGTGACTGAATGTCAGGGCTAGATTAAATGAAAGGAACTTAAAAAAAGCATGCTGCTACATTTATTTGATTGTTAAAAATAAATATAGGAAAGGAGTGTCCTTTGAATTTTGATCTACCTTTTTGGTAATAGTGCAATCTAGTAGTTTTTTTCTATCACAGCATAATTAAAATTGCTCAACAGTACAATAATATATTTATCAATTCCGTTGCACTATAAGTGTGCATGATGGTTCACGATACAGATGGCCTGATTCTCCTCTCACTTACATCAATGTAAATCAGGAGCCATTCCACTGAAATCAGTGGGTCGGATCCACGGTTGGAGCAAACAAGCACTGCTCCTTGGCCCACTGGAGTTACACTAGTGTAGGCGAGAAGACAATCCAAATCCACAGTCCTGTTCCCACAGCATTTACAGTACCTAAGAGCCCTCTCCTGCAAAGAACTGCTTAAGGGATTTTCCATTTGTTAGTTAATGAATAGACCCAGGAAAATAGAGGGGTATCACCGTAAAATCATGCTATTTAATTGGTTAGGGTTAGAGTGGACTTTGTTGGTTTCAGAATATTTTAATAGTTGTAATACGGAATGCCTGATTTTTCTTTCAAATATTAAATTTTCTATGATAATGTAGCCACTGGAGAGTGGGAAAGTTGGTTCATGTTCTTATATATTGCTGCAGTACATCTTTTTTTAATGACTTTGAAGAGACAGACATGATTAAATACATAAGCACATAGAACTGTAGGGTTTTTTTGGCTGTGCTGTATTATAGAACTAAAGAGAACAATATTTTATTTTCCTTTTACTAGTTCTTGGATATCTCTGTTAAGTGGACAACTCAAGAAACTGTTCCCCCAAAGTATCTCCATTATGACCCAGTAACATCTCGCCAACTGATGTGTGACCAGTGCCGGCCGGGAACCTATGTAAAACAGCACTGTACAGCTACAAAAAAGACTGAATGTGCACCATGTCCAGATCAGTACTATGCAGAGGACTGGAACAACAACGATGAATGCCAATACTGCAACACAGTGTGCAAAGAGCTGCAGTATGTGAAGCAAGAATGCAACACTACACAGAACCGCATCTGTGAATGTACTGAAGGGAGATACCTTGAGCTAGAATTTTGTTTAAGGCATACAGAATGTCCTCCTGGATTTGGTGTAGTACAACCAGGTACGTGTCTTCTTTCAATATGCAACAGAATTAATTAGAGCTGTACAAAGCATTAAAGACTTGTGGCACTTAAAGATTAGGAAACAAGCTTGTCCAGATGAAATTACAGACTAATAAATGGCAAAGCTAATACAACCTGTTACCGTTGTGACATTGCTTTGGACTATAGCCAAAGGAACATTTCTCAGTGGAATACTCTGCTCCTACTGAATGTGTAATTTAATGGCAGTACAAATGTAGCAAATTGCACTCTAATGAGAAACATGATGGATAGCCTCTTTTAAAGGAACATTATCTGGGATACAGTATTTCTGTTCTGTCATTTTGAAATCTGCTGTTTTAAGCCACTGTGTATCTTGACAAACACCAGAAGCATTAACTGATACAGTACCAAGAGCATAATTATAACAATATTAATGTAGCTCTAGAGTCAGAGCAAAATGTGGTAATAATTAATTACCGGTCTCCTAAATGGGAACTGCAAGAGAAACCATTATTATTATCATCCAAAGACCAGCCAACTACTTCTTTGTCAAACAAGCTGGTAACATGCTGTATGTCTGTGAGGGATAAAGGCCGTAGCAATGTTGTTTTCGTGGAGCATTTTCTTCATTTTAGACAAAATAAATTGTTAAGACTAAGTTCCTGTCTTGAAACAAAATATTTTGTCATCCTGCAAATGACTTGGCCCAGGCTAGTGCCAACATTGAATGTGGCCTAAAAGAAATGGAAGCTGGCATTCTGCCTAATCATAGTTACACCATATCCTTCATGCTACTGCATAGATCTATATGGCATTTAAATTGTTTCATGGGCTCTGATTGTGCAACAGGATCTACATGCACAGACTTCTATGCCTGTGTTGAATCCCACTGAATTTTGGGTGTAGAGATCCATGCAGGCAAAAATCTATGGATTTCTGGGCATAAGGATTCATGCAGGTTTGGGGCCATAGTTATATCACTGTTAACTTTGAAACTCTAGGAGCAGAAAAGCAAAGGATAATGAACGGGAATTTCAAAAGTAGTTAGCATTGGCCTACCTCTATTCCTATTGAAGCCAGTGACAGTTATATTATTGACCTTAGTGGGAGTACAGTTAGGCCACCAGTGAGTATGTTTGAAAGAAGTGAGCTGAGGGTTTAAGAGGATCCAAATTCTGAACATTCAGCTCCTTATCGATTTGGTATAAAAATCAATCTTCCTAGCACTGAGTAATTACTTTGGAGTCTGTATCATTGTGTGTTTCACCTGAACAAAGATGTGTGTGTATGCTGTATGGTTGTGGATGATGTAAATACACAGCAGGGTTTTAGATGTGACCAGCAACATATGTGTATTTGTACTTTTTATGCAACAGAAGAGGAGGGTTAAAGAGTTATTGTCGATGCATGGTGGTGCTGTCCACATCTGGTCTGACTGATGTGGCTGTGCTGTGCATACTAGATTAAACAACTCAGTCTAGTAATCCATCAGTCAAGTAATTTGTCCTTTATTAAAACAAATAAACTGTTTCTGACGGTAGCAGTAGCAGATTCACATGGCTATGATGTGAATAGCCCATAGAACAGACTTCTTTCTTCAGTGGTCCCTCGCAAGTCTTCTTCCTGTGATTCAGCATCGGAGGATTTAGACTTCCTAAATCTCTCAAAATTGCATCTTCCAACCTCATTTGTGGTCAGTCCCATGCTCTGATTCCTTTGACCTCAGACCTACAAAACTTCTGTAAAAGTGTATCTTCTGCACATTGGACATAATTCCATCATTGCTGTCATCGCTGGTGCAAGATTGCAACTTGCCAGGATTGTCTAAGTATCTCCTTGTTTGTGACAAAATCAAACCAATGGCTGTTAAGAATATGCCACAGTTTTTGATACTGAAAACTGTTTAGTTTCCTCTCCATAGTTGTTTTTAACTGCCATGTTTCTGCTCCATACAACACTTCTGCATTAAACACTCATATCTTAGTTGTCACACAAACATTCCGCTGCCCAAACAGAGGTCTTTGAAGATGCTCAAATGCCACTGATGAAAGAATGATCCGACATGTAACTTCTTCGGCTATTGAACCTCCTGCTGTCAAGCAACTACCCAAATAGACAGGTTTCAGAGTAGCAGCCGTGTTAGTCTGTATCCGCAAAAAGAAGAACAGGAGTACTTGTGGCACCTTAGAGACTAACAAATTTGTTAGTCTCTAAGGTGCCACAAGTACTCCTGTTCTACCCAAATAGACAAAACTATTCACCCATTCAGTCTATTGCAATCTACATACAATATCAGCAGGTCATTCATTTCCATTTTATAGGAGGTATACCTAGCTTTGGTTTGTCATCATTGATCTTAAATACCATAGATTCTGTAGTGTGTCGCAACTCTTCCAGCATTAGCTGTAGTTGGTCAGTAGTCTCTCCAAGTAAAGAAATATCATCCACATACTCAAGATCCTCTAAAGATGAATCTTTAAGTTTCACACCTTCTACTTTGGCCTCAAGCAGCTTTCTCATCATATTGTCTATTAGAACATTAAATAATATAGATGAGAGACCGCATCTCTGGAGTACTTCTGATTCTTCTGAAAACCAGTCTCTAATATAATCTTTGACCCTCATACGGCTAAATGTACAGTGGTACAGGTCCTCCACTAGGCCCACTAAGTCCTCAGGCACTCCATACTGGTATAGCAGTATCCACAATTCTGATTGATACACTGGGTCAAAAGCAGTTACAAAGTCTGTAAATGAGGTGTTAACTTCCTTTGGTCACTCTAGTCATTTTCAATAACATTTTGCAGACCGTATATTGCATGGACTGTAGGTTGACCTGTAAAGAAACCACACTCATTGTTTTTGGGTTGAGATAGTATTTCAGTCAGTTCAGTAGTATGATCATACACCCCTGCCCTGGGATAGACAACAACATTATTCCCCTATAATTTGAGCAAGCTGATTGTTCTCTTCTTTTGAAAAAAAAATGATGCAGCTGTTTTTTTCAATCTTCTGGAATGTGATCAGTTTCCCAAACTTTAAAGACAAATCTGAAGCCAATGAACTAAATCCGGGTCTCCACTCATTAGCAGTTCTGATGAAGTATTGTCAAGACCAGGTGCTTTATCATTTTCTAACTGTTTGACAATAAGCATCACTTCCTCTAATGTCACCAGCCTGTTTTCTACAGGGTTCATTTTTGGATGAAGTTGTAGGTTATGCCTTGATGGGTTTCTGTTCACTAATTCACAATAATGCCAATGCTTAGGTTGTGCATCAATATCATGGCAGAATTCTCCATTTTTGTCCTTAACTGGAAGAAGCTGTGAGAATGGATGTCCAATTAGGACTTTCAAAGTGTCAAATACACATTTCTGATCATGTCTTTTAAAGGCTTCCTCAATGCACTGTGCCATACAAGTCCACCATTGCTTACAATCACTTCGACAAGCCCTCTTGACTACTTATTCAAAACATTTCTTTTCCTGTATTGCCTATTTCCTCCCCTCGTCATTGACTCAACTCTGACTTTCCAGTGCATCCATTCTGCAATTCACCTCTTTTTTCTCCTATAATTTGATGGTATCATCTTTAATCCAATGTTTCTTTTTCATTCTCCTTCATCCAGTTGTTCTCCAGCAGTCTCTGTGATAGAATCCCGAAATAAAGAATCCCATTCTTCCTTCACGGTACACAGCTGGTTATCCAATATACAATATTTGTTGGAAATCGCTACCATGTAGCTATTAACAATTGCTTCAACATGAAACTTATCAACATTGAAGCATTTCAATGCAATACATACATGTCTCTGGCACTTCTTTGAATATCATTGTTGCTATTAGAAGCAAATCAATACTCCTAAATACTCATACATCCCAGAGGAGTTTAGTCAAGAGTGTCTGAACTAGAATGTGATCCAAGATTTTACTGTCACCCAATTCTTGTGCTGAAACCAGATACCATTAAAATAGTCCAATAGCTTGATAGTATCTGATAAAATAATACAGATGAATAATAACGAGTAAGGCACAGGACCGGGAGTCAGAAGATATAGGTCATATTCTCAACTCTGCGATAGTTTCTTGTATGATCTTCAGGCAAAATCATCCAACCTCTCTGTGCCTCATTTTCCTAATTTGTAAACTGGAGTAATAATAGTCACCTCTTACACAGTGTGTTCTTTGGCTTAACATGCTAATGTTTGTCAAGGACTTCATGATCCTTGGATGGAAGGTGTTATAGAAACGTGCAGTAATAAGAATAGAGGCAGGTACAAACTTGAGATTGGTTAGTGCCTAGAGAAGAGAATGAAGGGAAGGAGACACAGGAAAACAAAGGAATGTCTCAGAGATAAGTCTTTTTCAACTGTAATGCCCCAATCTCCAAAGCTGCAGAACTGCTTTCCTAGTCATGCTCATACAGAAAGAGGCAAGGGATTAAATATCGTAGGAACATTAGCTGAAGCTTTTAGTGCTACACTATTCGTTGGTACGCAGATTGCAAAAGCATTGTTAAATAAGAAGTTTGATGTAGTGGCTTTTACAGCTAGGTTAGAAGCAAGACTCAAGGGGCCTGAAACAAAGTACACAAGGATGTCCATTTGGAAGACGCACAAAAGAAGTCTGGGTTGTGTGGGAAGCCTGCTTACTGTATCCATCAAAGGATAATAAAATAATGGCTAACAAAACTGAAGTCATCAATCCAAGACCAAGCCAAATGTGTTAGGCTTTGAGAAGAAGACAAATGATCTAATCACATAATCTTTTGGAGAGATGGGTTCCCAAACCACAGCAGAGTGCATCAATTAAACAGCAATTAGGCCTCAAATAAGAAACAGAGATACAGACTCTGGCAACACAATTACTTTTATAATCTTCAGGTTTTTAAGACAAGGCAATTGCTGGAAAACTTAAAGACAGTGAACCAAATTTTGTTCTCAGTCACATCTATGCAACATCACTCAAGACAATGTGTTTGCACTGGTGTAACTGAGGGTGGAGTGTGGCCTTAGTCTATCAAAAATATCCTTCATAATTACACATGGAAACAATGTGGTCCAGTGGAGAATCGGAATCTGACTACTGTTCCCAGTTGCCACTGCCTCAGTGTAACCTTGAGCAAATCGCTTAATCTCTCTGCTTCTCAGTTTCCATATCTATTACTGCAGATAAAGGACAATTAACCATCTTTGTAAAGTACTTTGAGATCCATTGAAGTATAGCACTATAAAATTAAGTATATTAAGTATATTTTTCTTCCTTGATCTTAGTCCTGGCATCCAGGCTATGAGGCATACATTGGTGACACTATAAATCTTTCAGTGGCAAGGGAATCAAAGCAGAGGTCACCCTCCTGGCCAAATATTAGGTATGCTACACCATCAAAGCATATTTATTCTGGGAAGTGATCCTACTGTCAGACGATTAGACGCTGTTAATTTAGCAGCCATCCAAGAGAGCTCATTGCACATGATTTGTTTCTCTTGGAAACAAAAGGGCCTCACTCTTCTCTGGGACTGTTCCTATATTTGGACTATAGTATATATAGCCTCTTTCTCCTACAAAATTGATTCTGGCAACTGGAAATGTCTTATTTTAATTAATTTTGTAAACTGATCAGATTGTTTCTCACACTGGTGCTCTATAGTCTGTTTAGTTCTTGTAATTTACTAAGGTTTGGTATTTTGTAGTTCTAATAACATATGCCTCTTACTTTTGAAACTCATTTTAACTAGAATGTGAGTTCCTTCGAAGGACTGATAAGGAACTAGAATTGGGCCAAAATTAGAACCTCAAAGCAAAGTATCTTCAAATTGCAAAGAAGAACAGGAATTTAATCTGTTGACTTAAATCAGCCATTATAACTTTGATTCTAGGTCAGATCAAAACTACATGGGGCTTGTTTTCTGGTTTGGGTATGGATGCAACTGAAATCACACAGTAACATCTATTCTCCGGACATTTCACCTCAAAATGACATAAATTACATGAGATTACCTGACCGTACAAAGGTGGACCATTTTTCAAGAACAATCTTTGAGATCTGATCCTGTCAAATCCAAACCAAGCCTTTGCCACTCTCTGCACTATGGTGCCCAATAATGTGGCAGACTTCCGAAGAGAAATCCACTTGGGAGTTAATGCAGATTAAAGCAGTGTTACCTCTCACTTTGCACCTGCTATTCGCCTCAAGCGGGCACCAAGGGGGACAGTCAATGGCAGCACACATTCTAAGTGAGGGAGGCTGGAGGAGCAGTGCAAAGGTGCCATACTGCTTTAACCATGTAGAACCTGGGACTCTGCTGGGTTTCCAGATCACCCACCCTATTCCTTTCCCATTCAGAGGAAGATACAGAAGAAACTCTGCATGGAGTTTCCATGTACTTTGTCACCCCCTGCAGGTATTTTTGGGAATGAGGACAATCTATCTCCATCTCCCAAAATATGGAGATGCTAATCTCTTTGGAAGGAACAACCTGAAAAAGCAGCATATCTGTGGTAGGGGAAAGTCCACCAGAAATTCTCTTAGCAATGGTAGTTGATGCCTGATCATCTGAAATGTGCAGATCTCTGTCAGGTGGACTTTCATATTGTTTACGGCAGCTGTCGTTGCATAATATTAGCAGATTAAAAAGGCAAACCTGTATGTAGCCTTCTGTGGTGCATTATTCTGTCACTATCTTTTAGAGGGTTGGCTATTGCAAAATTAATTTCTTTTAAGTAATTGTATAGAATCACTTTTGATGTTCAGATATGCTCTCCTGCACATGTTTTTACTCATTATCTAGTAAAAGCAGAAGTTCTGCGTTTGAGTATATATAAATATACTCTTTATTTCTTGGCTACTTGAAAACTCAGAGATTCATATCCTTTTGTTTCTAAGGGAGTCTTAGAAATGTAAAATTGTAGTAAAGGTGGATTTGCTTATTTTAACGCAAACCTCTGTGCATTTAGCTTTTAACAGCAAGTACTCCCAAAATACACTAGATGGAGGCATTTTCAAATGCAAATATAGTCCTCAATTCCAGCAAAGAATTGAATAATAGACTATAGACTAATAGACTTAAAGGTCAGAAGGGACCATGTCTTTAATGCATCCTTATTCGATAAAGCATTTACTCATGTGCTTGAATTTGGGCACATACTTAAGTCCCATTGGTTTCAGGGAGACTTAAGCATGTGCTTAAAGTTAAGAGCATGCTTAAATGCTTTGTTGAATAGGAATGTACTGCTCAATTGGGGATATATTGTATGAGCTTTGATTTGAGCCGGGATTTTCCTTTGATAGACTCTTCGCAGTAGCTGCCTAGCTTAAGTTTCATGCATTAATCTTCTCCCTTTCAGTCAATGCGGTGCAGTAATGTTCCATGTTTTCTCAGTTATTTAACTATTATATTATAATAGCATATATAATGAAAGGGAGGAAAGTCACCGTGGATGAATGGTTTTAATTTAAAGGCCAATATGTAGACTGGGGTAGGCAATCTATGGCACATGTGCCAAAGGCAGCACGCGAGCTGATTTTCAGTGGCACTCACACTGCCCGGGTCCTGGCCACCGGTCTGGGGGGCTCTGCGTTTTAATTTAATTTTAAATGAAGCTTCTTAAACATTTAAAAAACCTTATTTTACATACTTTACATACATCAATAATTTAGTTATATATTATAGACTTATAGAAAGAGACCTTCTAAAAACGTTAAAATGTATGACTGGCACGTGAAACCTTAAATTAGAGTGAATAAATGAAGACTTGGCACACCACTTCTGAAAGGTTGCTGACCCCTGATGTAGACAGTATTCAAATTATATTATAGAACACTCACAAAAAGAAGAACCTGCTTGCAACAGATTTAAATAAATGGGCTGAATTCTATTCAGTTACAACCAGAGTAATTTATTTTAGGGATCATCTGCACAGATGTAACAGAGCAAAATTTGGACCAATGTTTTGTGCCCGTTAATTGATTCTCAGAAAAAAATCTATATGGAGGAAAACTGAAGGTCAGACACCTTTTGTAAACATTTGAATAGAGCCAAGTTATCTGATGCTAATTTACAAATGTATGCAAGGATGCAAGGATGAGAAGCTCGTGTGTTTAAAAACATTATTTAACATACTTCTGTAGCATGAGCATCTGAATTTGAGAGAAGAGTTTTCAAAATTATACAAATATCTTCCAAGCAAGTGTTCATGTAGGAGTGAGAAAGCATGAAAATCCGAAGTCATGGTTTATTTTTTGCTATTTTCTTTCCTGGTACACAAAAACTCACACACAATATGTATCTTTTGTAAAAGGTAGTGGGTTTTGTTTTTCTAAAGGCACCCCTGAGAGTGACACCATTTGCCAGAGATGTCCAGAAGGATTTTTCTCAAATGAAACTTCATCCAAAGCAGCCTGTGAAAAACACACAAACTGCAGTGCACTGGGTCGTAAAATAGCACTGAATGGCAATGCGGTTCGTGACAATATGTGTCACGAAAACACAGATGCATCAGCTCAAAAATGCGGAATAGGTATGTATAATGCCAAAGTGTCCCGACAAGCATTATTAAAATGGGATTAGCAATGGCTATGGTAAAAATTATTAAAACTGTTAGGTGCTCAGATACTACGGTGATGGGCAAACTGTAAAATTCTAGTTACTGTCAATTAGATGATATAGAAGGGGTAAGAAGCCTATAGTGGTATGAAATAAAGACCAGTCCCTTAATTTAAACATGTTTTTAAAATAGTTTTTCTTACAATTCTGGACTCTCTATGTTTTGTCAGGGCCAAACAATTTCAGAAGAATTCAGACACTTGCTTGGATCATCTTGGTTTATTTCACCAAATCAATTCCCTGTCATTGCAGGGGCCTCAGGCATTGGTGTACCCTGCTCCCTTCTGTTCTGTGCTTGTGGCATACAATAGTTTAGTCTCTCCTGAAAGCTGTAATTCTAGTCTATCCAGGTTATTGGCGTCAGTGCGGGAGGAACCTGGTGGGGATTAGTGTCCTATGATGTGCAGGAAGTCAGCCTAGATGATCTGCTGGCCCCTTCTAGCCTTGACTTCCAGGACTTAACCTATCTTTTTCTCTCTTATTTGTTTTTAGATGTAACCCTATGCGAGGAAGCACTTTTCAGGTTTGCTGTTCCTGAAAAACTCACTCCTAACTGGCTGAATGTACTAACGGACGGTTTGCCTGGGACAAAGATTAATGCAGAAAATATAGAAAGGATTAAACAAAAACATAGTTCTCAAGAACAGATGTTCCAACTGTTGAAATTATGGAAGCAGCAAAACAAAGAACAGGATATGGTCAAGAAGATCATTCAAGGTAATTCAGACAGCATAGCAAACACAGTTAGAAGTAACTTTTCAAATAGCACTTTTGTAATCTCCTGGGGCCAAATTCTGCCCTGGGTTGTGAGCACACTGCTCACACTGACACCAATGGGAGCTGTGTAGGTGTGATTGTGTGCAGAACTTAACCCTTTATGTTCAACAGAAAGGACCAAATTCTGCCCAGACTTCCAGTCTATGTGATCCCATTGAGTAATATGTATGGAGTGTAAATCAATGCCCCTTTGGGACCATAAGAGTAGGAAATATTGTGATACTAGGGTCCATACTGCCCTCATTTACACAAGAGCAAGAACTAGAGAAGTCAGTGGGAGCTGGGTGTGTACAGATCAGGGGAAACTCAGGCTCACAGTATATGATATAAGTAGGGCCCTACCAAATTCATGGCTGTGAAAAACACGTCACGGACCGTGAAATCTGGTCTCCTCTGTGAAATCTGGTCTTTTGTGTGCTTTTACTCTATATTCTACAGATTTCACAGGAGAAACCAGCATTTCTCAAACTGGGGGTCCTGACCCAAAAATGGGTTGCAGGCGAGTTGCAAGGTTATTATAGGGGGGGTCTTGGTATTTCCACCCTTACTTCTGCACTGCCTTCAGAGCTGGGTGGCCAGAGAGTGCTGGCTGCTGGCCCAGGGTCCAGCTCTGAAGGCAGCAGCACAGAAGTAAGGGTGGCGATACCATACCATGCCACCCTTACTTCTGCACTGCTGCTGGTAGTGGCGCTGCCTTCCAAGCTGGGCTTCCGGCCAGCAGCCGCCGCTCTCCGGCCACCCAGCTCTGAAGGCAGCACTGCTGCCAGCAGCAGTGCAGCAGAAGTAAGAGTGGCAATACCACAAGCCCCCTACAATAACCTTGCAACACCCCCTCCCCCCCATTAACCCATTTTGGGTCAGGACCCCTACAGTTACAACACTGTGAAATTTCAGATTTAAATATCTGAAATCATAACATTTATGATTTTTTAAATCCTCTGATCGTGAAATTGACCAAAATGCACCGTGAATCTGATAGGGCCCTAGATATAAGCAAGGCACTATAGGTGCTGGCTTGAGAGACCTAAACCCTTTAGATATCCACGAAGAGGAATATGTGGGCACTGGCAAACCAAAATCTCATACATACCCCTGCAAACATGCTTTTCTCTTTTTGGAAAGAGTATCCCTGCTCATTCCTTCACCTCTCTGCTGAAACTGCCACCATCGGTGTCAAAGGTGAGATTATGATGGCAGTTTTTGTGATGTTAACACTTGTTGCTGGAGTTTTCACTGAAAACCACCAAACCCTTTTCACATGAGCCACCATCAGCAACCATCAGATTTGAATGACTTTTGTTCTATAAGGAATGGATTTGAAATGGTGTCCTAGAGAAACCGTTTTTAATCTATGTCTGTTTATGCCATTGTAACATGTCTGTGCTGGAGCTGATGCTATGTTGGAACCAGTGACAGTTATAGCTAAACTGTCTAGGCATTTCCTGTATAGCAGGAGTAAAATAGTTGTGTAGTGCAATGTAAGATACAGAGCCCTGCCTCACACACTATACATCTGACAAGATGCACATTACAAAATTGTAAAATAAATGTGTGATAGCAAGTATGTGCGTAACTTGGGACTACTTATATGAAAAAAGTTACACACGTGCTTAAGTGCTTTGTAAGACTGAGGGTTAAAACAACAATGATAAAAGGAACAGGAGTACTTGTGGCACCTTAGAGACTAACAAATTTATTAGAGCATAAGCTTTCGTGGGCTACAGCCCACTTCTTCGGATACATATATGCTGTAGCCCATGAAAGCTTATGCTCCAATAAATTTGTTAGTCTCTAAGGTGCCACAAGTAC